AAAGTTTTTTCCGCACGCCAATCATTTACTTTGTAGATGGCACATCGGTCAAAATATTTTGAAGAATTGCAAACAAACTATTAGGTCGCAACGTGATTGGAACCTTTTTCAATCAGCGTGGAAGTTACTTATAGATTCTCCAACGTGGATATCGTACACGGAAAACTATGAGAAACTTCGAACAGTGTTGTCAAAATACCCCCATAAGTCTTTTACGTTATTTATTTTTCTATATAATATTTAATTTTCTATCAAATATTTATATTTCTTTCTAATACTTGTTTTTTTTTATCATTTCAGGTGTTTTAAGATACGTACATGATAACTGGTTGGACAAATATAAAAACCATTTTGTCTCTGCTTCGATTGACCAATGTTTGAACTTTGGAAATCGCACTACCAACAGAGTTGAGAGCCAACATGCTAAGTTCAAGAATTACATGTATCATCAAAGTTACACTCTGGATAAATTTGTTGTTTGTATTAATAAGATCGTAGAGTCACAACTCGTGGCAATCAAAGAAAATTTTGGGAGAAGTGAAATTTCTCGTTATCACAAACACAATATACCATGCTTCAGTTTACTACAGGTTTCGTCTCAAATGAAGCTCTTGATTTGATAGTGAAAGAGATTAATCGGTCGATTGGTTTTCAACTAGATTCCTCAACTTGTGGTTGTCAACTACATAGCAGTTGTGGGTTACCGTGTGCTTGCAAACTTTCATTGTACGTAAATTCAGGTTCGTATATACAATTACTCATGATTGATTTAATAGTTTTAAGTCTTTATATTTCAGCATTTAAGACAAAATATATTTGTATATGCAGGTGAGTGTATTCCCTAGGATTCTATAGATATATTCTGGAGAATGCTAAATATTTCACCGGTAACATCTTTCCAAAGTGACAATATTTGTTGCGACGCTGAAGTAAACCATTTTAAAGAGCAATTCAACAAGCAGTCTGAAGCTGGAAAAAGAAGTTTCCTAAGAAAGTTGGTTAACGTATTCAATCCAAGTAAAACTACCATGAAACCGCCCACGGTTAAGAGAAACACTCGTGGACGACTGAGTTTGAAAAAACAACAACAACAACAAAGACATGCTCCTCCTAAGAGTAAAGATTCACGAACACGTAGCCAGTCAGCGAGGTCTTTTGGGGTTGATTTGAACGTCGAACCGGAAAGACATAGTTGTTACACGAACTATCAAACAAATTATGATCGTGATCCGATCCTAGATCTAAATGAGGAGCCGACGAGACATAGTTTGTTTGTGGATTTAAATGAAGAGCCGACTAATTTTTTTGATTATATTCCAGAAATAATCTAGTTTGTTCCGCCAATCGTAGATTCCCATCGATATAATTATTCAGAATCTATGGAAGTCCCAAACATAAACCAAGAACCTGTGACAAACCCTTTACTCGATCATATTCCAAATATTTTTCATCGCTATATCAGACATTTAAATAATGTCAAAGGTGATGGAAACTGTGGATTTCGGTCAGTTGCCGTCGGCCTTGGTCTCAATGAAAATATGTGGCCTGTAATTCGACAATAGTTGTTACAAGAGTTAAGGTATCACGAGCAAGATTACACAGATATATTGACTTCTATAGGCTTTAATTACATTTGGAAGACCGTGGATTTTTCAGGAATTGGTTTTGCCCCAATGGATAAATGGATGTCTATGCCAGATACAAGGTTAGTTATCGCTTCATTTTATAGGAGACCGGTTGTATTCATATCCATGGTAGGTAGTTCTACGTGCTTTCCGCTTTGGTCCGGTCCACATGAGTCAGAATCAACTAGCCCCATAGTTATTGCACGTGTGGGGGGGGGGAGTCATTTCATTAATCTATTGCTACGAGAAGGTTGCCCAATACCGTCAACTCACCCACAATGGAGGAGGTATAGGATTGATAGGCCATCTGCATGGGAAGACATGTATTCAAGTCGACAAATGTAATATTTTCATGATCGTAATCTTTACTCTTTGTTTACTAAAGTTATTATAGTTGTTATATGATTTTACTTTTTTTTAATTGTTTACTTTTTACACTATTAGTTATAATTATACGAGTGTTTACAAAACAATAAATTATATGAGTGTATACAAGACAATAAATTTCAGCCTTTAAAACTTTTTATGTCTCACGATTATCTTTTTATTTTGGCGTTTGCATTACCCAAACATATAATATGAAAATTTTCCTAATATTAAATAAATTTATTATAAAAAGTTTGCACTAATCCAATAACTTTTGTGCCCATGAGACGAGCCGTAAGTATATTGCAAGCATATATCCTAAACTTTTGAATAATAACTAATGGATCACAATTAATAAATAGTCAACTTATTAATTTATTATTTTCCATTTATCCATGTCAAAATGAGATGAGAGATAATATTTAATGCTAATCATTAGTCATAATTAATCTATAAGATAAAGCGATGGGATGTAATTCCTAAATAAATGGGGTCTAAATTCACCAAGCCTTAGTAAATACCTTGTCTCTAATTAGGGTATGAATCTCTTCTCAATAAGAGGTAATAAGAAGCTAGTAACAACTAGGGGTGAGCAGCGGAATCGGGTACCCGTTTGCGGAACCGGAACCGGAACCGGCGGTTCCGGAACCGGAACCGATATGAGTGGTTCTAGTTCCGGTTCCTAAAATACGGAACCGATTGAGAACGGTTCCGGTTCCGGTTCTCAATTTTTCGGAACCGTTACCCGCCGGGTACTTGGAACCGGTGGTTGTTTTTCAATAAAAAAATAATTGATTTTTTTCAATACCAAATTTATATTAAGTTACATCTTCAAATGACGCGGTCATCTTCATTCTTCATTTACTTTCTAGTTCTACTAAACTACAGTTCGTAGTATGTAATCATTAAGTTTTGAAAATTTACAAGTATAGTATATAATCGTTAAACTTTGAACATTTTCTATTAGTCTATTATGGTTTGTAATCGTTAAAACAATATTTGCAACCATTATTCCGTATAATTTGTATTCTTGTTTATTTAATTTAGTGTTTTGGCAATATTTTATTTTTTTTCTAAATAACAAAATTTTAATATTTTAGGAAGCGGGTACCCGGAACCGGAACCGGTTCCCGGCGGTTCCGGTTCCGGTTCCAAAAATTCAAGAACCACTCTAACCGGTTCCGGTTCCTATCAAAAAGGGCGGGTACCCACCTATGCTCACCCCTAGTAACAACATCTTTGGAAACTGAATCAGTGAGAAACTGATTTGGTTGCTTAGGATCTGAATCGGTTTGAAAATCGTGACATCATGTGTTGGTTAACAACTAAAGGGACACACATCGCCTATCGGATGAGGGGTGTGAATCGTCAGGATAGGTGTCATTATCCTGACACACGTACTCATGAAATCTGCTTGATATCCCATATAAATGCCGATCAAAGGCATTTTAGTTTCCTTTCTTACTCCTACAAGTTTTCTTCCGTACTAGAGCTCCCAAATCATTTCTATTGTCGAACCTGCAAGAAATAAGTACATTTTTAAGGTTTTCGATTTTAGAATGTAAGGTATGATCCTTTGTATTTTGCATGGATGCGCCCTCTTCATCATATAACAAAGAAACGAGGGAAACATTGAGGGGTTAGAAACCTTTATGTTGCTTTTATTACCTTAATGGGCTATACTGAGATGAGGGATTCTGCAAGTGTTATCGAAGAACAGTGAGATCTGGAAGCTTTTAAATTGATTTCTAGCTTCCTGCCGAGATTGGCCTATTTAGTCCACACGATCTTTGTCTGGATGGATGTCCCATTCTATATGAACACAACTTCAAAATTGGTTTTTCTTGGGCTTTTCCTTTCTATCGAGGGTATTCTTGGATGCCCTTCAATTTATCTCTGGGGCAGACCAGTTTTGGAGGATTGTGAGTGTAATCGACAAGCTCACCTCTGATTCGGAATCGCATATGAACTACTAGTGGCTTACGCGGTTAAGTCTGAAAGTAACCATTGGTATGACCTCTATACCAAAGCTAAGTAAAATCCTAGTCTCGGATACTTTTATCAATGATAGAAAGTGGAAGACTAGGTACGTCCTGGGCAAAGTGTCTATATTAAAGGACGAAGACTAATGGTTGGCGGCTGAATGAAAAACCGTTTGTAAGTGTCATCGTTGTTTAGTTTTACGTCGAGTTTAGTATTATTGATATTTGACCTTTTTGCTTATGTTTTTGTAGCTATCGATTTCTCTGTGGTGTCTCTCTTACCTGACACTCAAGGAAATTTTAAGAGATTTTTGCATTTGTCAACATGGAATTATTGAAGTAGTCAAAATTAGTTTTTATGAATAAGAGGTCATGTACCGAGTTTATAGGAAGGTCTTTAGAAGATAAGTTTCTTTTGATTTTATCTCTTAATTAGTAGTAATCTGATAGTGTGAGTCAAGCTATTTTAGCTCCTATTTCTTCTTATCTGTAGGCTATATATACAGCCATATTCTTGATTGAATAAGGTGAATAATACCATTTGAATACTTCAGATTATAACTCTGATCCATCAATTGGTATCAGAGCCACTTTGAGGGTGTGAGAGGAAAACACGAGGGTGTGAGAGGAAAACACAAGGGTGTGAGAGATGGCGAGTGACTCCAACAGTTTTCAAACTCCATGTGTGCCAAAGTTTGATAGGTATTACGATCACTGGAGTTTGCTTATGGAGAACCTGTTTCCTTCAAAGGAGTATTGGAGTGTAATTGAAGGTGGGTATCAAGAACCTGCTGCGGGAGAGGTGTTGACAGCAGCACAACAGAAAGCCCTGGATGAGGCAAAACTCAAGGATCTAAAAGCTCGAAATTATTTGTTTCAGGCCCTTGATAAGTCTATTTTGAAGACCATCATTCAGAAAGATAACGCGAAGCAGCTATGGGAGTCCATGAAGGTTAAGTATCAAGGGAACGCAAGGGTAAAGCGTGCCTAATTGCAGAGACTTCGAAGGGAATTCGAGACCCTCGAAATGAAGACGGGAGAATCGGTTACCGATTACTTCGGAAGGGTAATGGTTGTCGCCAACGATATGAGAAACTGTGGCGAAGATATGAATGATGTCAAGATTGTGGAGAAGATATTACGCACCTTGACTGAAAATTTCAATTTTATTGTTTGCTCGATAGAAGAATCCAAGGACATCGATGATTTGACAGTTGATGAATTGCAGAGTACTTTACTGGTGCATGAACAAAAGGTACGACGTCGAGGAAGTGACGAACAAGTTCTGAAAGTTGAGCACGATTCAAATAACGGACGAGGCAAAGGCAGGGGTACTTACTCAAGAGGTGGAAGCTCTCAAAGGGGACGAGGGTGAGGAAGGGGTCGAGGAAATTTCAACAAGATGACCATTCAATGTTACCGGTGTCAAAAGTTTGGACATTTTCAGTACGAATGCCCTGATGCTGCAAAAGGTGTCAACTATGTAGAATTTGATGAAGGAGATGAGCTACTGTTAATGGCTTATGCTGAAGTTAATAAAGCCAACACTCAAGCAGAATGGTATCTTGACTCAGGTTGTTCAAATCACATGACAGGTAATAGAGATTGGTTTGTTCAAATTGATGAAAGTTTTAGTCACACGGTRAAACTTGGAAAWAGCACTCGGTTAGCAGTTACGGGAAAGGGAAATATACGCCTTGAGATTGAGGGTACAACACAAACCATCACTGATGTTTTTTTAGTTCCTGAGTTGTCTACTAACCTGTTAAGCATGGGTCARTTGCAAGAGAAGGGCGTGACATTTGTAATTGAGGCTGGTGCTTGTAAAATGTATCATCCTCTAAAGGGGTTAATTTCAACCACTAAAATCACTTCAAATCGGATGTTTTTGGTCACTGCAGTCATGAAATCTCTTCCAAATTCTTGTCTTCATGTTGATAAAGAAGCTGATATAGCCCTTTGGCACCGAAGATATGGGCATTTGAACAACAAGGCCATTACAATGATGCAACGTAAGCAAATGGTGAAGGGACTGCCTCAGTTAAAAGAAGAAGCTAAAGTGTGCGAGGTGTGCAATATTGGCAAGCAACATCGTGAAACCATACCGAAAAGAAGTGAATGGAAAGCATCGCAGAAACTTCAGTTAATACACACAGATCTTTGTGGTCCTATAAGTCCTGCTTCTCAAAGTGGTAAAAGGTATATTTTAGTTTTTGTTGATGACTTTACTCGTAAAACATGGATATACCTACTGTCAGAAAAGGATGAAACATTTGATGTGTTTAAGAATTTCAAAAACTTAGTGGAGAAAGAAGTGGGTGGTCATATACGCTGCCTACGGAGCGACCGGGGAAGAGAATTTACATCAAATGCCTTCAATCAATTTTGCGAGGAACATGGGATCAAACGACAATTGACAGCAGCCTACACCCCTCAACAAAATGGGGTGGCAGAAAGACGGAACARGACRATAATGAACATGGTAAGATGTTTACTTGCAGAAAAGCAAATGCCGAAGTGGTTTTGGCCAGAAGCAGCAAAGTGGACGTGTCATGTGTTGAATAGAAGTCTTACAAGCGCGCTGGATGATGTAGTGCYAGAAGAACGATGRAGCGGATTGAAACCAAGCGTTGATTATTTTCGAGTTTTCRGTTGCATTGGSCATGTGCATATACCTAAGCAATTACGTACAAAACTTGATGACAGAAGCCACAAGTGTGTTTTKCTTGGTRTAAGCAYAKAGTCKAAAGCGTACCGACTATATGATCCAATTCAAAATAAAATAATCATTAGTCGGGACGTCATTTTTGATGAAGAATCTAAATGGAACTGGAGCACAGGTGAGGCAAA